CACCATGACTTCCATGACAGTCAATGCTCAGGAAACAACTCTTACCCTCTGATGAATTCCTCAGTAAGGGTTTTCACTTCAGACCAGCTTGTGCTTCTGAAGCCTCATGCTTTATGGCTCTCAAGATAGGCACTGAAAAGAACTACTTTTCATAACCAAGTTCTGAGTTACAGAAGACAAATTTCTGGCTCACAAGTTTCCATACTGCTAAGTCATCTCTGGACTACCATCTCCAAGCAGTTGCCTGACATATCCCAGATGTCTATTTTAGAAGACGACAAATCATGCCCTAGAAACGCCTGTTTTCTCTTCGCTGACTGTAACGGCAGTCTAGACAGTGAGCACAGATGGAGATCTCAGTATTTGCTCAGGTGAATCACACCCCCGTAGACTTAAAGTTTCAAAACTTTACCCTTCACCCAAGCTTAAAAGTTGCTGTACTAACGAAATTAATGATGAAAACTATCTACAGATATCTTAGGAATCTCTGACTTACCTATTTGTCACTGCATGTGTATTCCACCTAGGTATGTCACAGCATTTTTTTTCTTCATTTTATTTTAATACAATGGGGAAGTTCCCCACTTTCATGAGAAGATTCCCCACTTTCCACGAACTAGTAAGTCTTGGAGTTATTCTTGCTCATCCTGGTGTAACTTGGATATTTCCTGAAATTGAGCTTGCATTTAAAGATATTTGCTACATAATCACCATTTATGCTTATATACTTTATCCATTCATTTAAATCAATTTAGAATCTCATTACTCAGTTGTCTTATGCCATATTTTTCAACTGAGCCTCCTTGATTAATTGATGTCAGGAGGGAGCTGACTAGAACTACAACTTTTGAGCCACTGTCCAAATATTTAGGAATGTTAAAAATGGTCTAAGAAAAATAAAAATAAAAACATAGCTTTATAAATCATTAGAAGTATATGTGCAGGCAATCCTTAGGCAACTCTCAGTGGGATTCTTTTTACATGTCATTAACCTGATCTGCATGATACCGACACAAAGACATCACTTTTGTACCAATCCTGCATTTAATAGAAGAGGACATACTTTCAGAAATGAACTAGTGAAAGGCAACTGAGCTGTAACTTTGAGACTTCTGCAGTACAGAAGCTTATTGTGGAAAGCCCTAATAGGAGGGTCACCTTCTTCAAGGGCAAATTTCTGCCAGCATGAGTTAAGGCTGACTTCCCTCATCACAGCTTGGGATTTGCCTTCCTAAAGTCTCCTCCAGTTTGACAGCACCATTCATATCACCATCCTTCTGGCTAAAAACACTTTCCACTTGATTACAGATCATTCCTTGATAGTTTGCCTCTCCACATGGTAGGGAGTAGTCCTGTTTTCAGTTGGGAGGGCTGTCTGGCATGACATGCAAACCACCTAAGATGTTTGCTTCAATTCCCAGCAGCCAGGACAGAGTGTATTTGAACTTCTTGGAACATGCCAGACTTTGGGGTTTCTTGCTTGTAATGGTAATTGAGTTTCCTCGCTTTGATTTCTGCACCAAGCCATGGGTGACAGAAATACTCTTCATTTTTCACTTACGTAGATAGCTCCACTCTTAGATATAATTGCATACGTTTATTTGGTCAACTCAGCCACTTTGTTCTGCTAACATCTCTGCCCCCACCTGTCCTCTTAAGTTTGTGACTTGGCTTGGAGATTTCTATGCAGATTATTAAAGATTTATTAAGTCTAGCCTCTCAAAAAGAATATAGATGGTATTATTTAAAAAATAATAAATCATATTTTTTTCTTTTCCAGTTTGGTGGTATTAGAGCTACACCAGCCTGCCTACCATCCCTTCCAGTCCAAAGGCTGTCTGGGTGGAACCGATGCTACAACTTGGCGCAGGGTCTCTGTTACCACTGGCTACTGCAGAGGAGTATGCAAGCCAGCTATAGCTGAGAAAAGTCAAGTCTTCTTGCCTTACCATTAACACTGGAAGCTTTATTATTATGAAATGTTTTTAAAACAGCACTGTCAAAAGGCCAAGAACAGGGCTCTTTGGGCACTATACAGCTACAAGGAGGTAGACAGTCACTGCCTGGCTTGTAATTTAGAGAAGAGAAAAGCAAACAAAAACAAAGCAAGCAAACAAAACCAAAAACAAAACACACACAGGGCAGGAGAAGGGGTGTTCCGGCTCTAATTCTGAGATGATGTCTTCTGTTTGTGAACTCCCTTTCCCCATGAATGTTACTTTTGAATAGCTGCTATGGGAGATATCTATGTCTGTGCTTCTGCTGGTCCACTGTGGTTAATACTAATTAAGCAAATTTTAAATAGAAGATAAGAGTAAATTTCTCAGAATCCCTGCCAGAAAATTGGGTAGTTTGGCTTGGCAGACTGGAAAAAAAGCCTGACATATTGTGTCAATATCACAGGATCTGCCTTTCTTTAAATATATAAAATTTCTCGTGGTTACAGTTTAACATATAACCATTCTCTTTTAAATTCTGCTTTCAGTAGTTTCTCAGCACCAAGATTCAGCTTCGTCTATTCCAGTCCTTTTCACAGCAGCCAAATCTAGAAATAGATTTTAACACTTCACATTTTCACAATCACTTTAATCAAAACTTTGAAGAGCTCTGCAAACATTTATTAACACTTGAACAACTCCCCAGGTCTGTTGTAGGGGTTTCTCAAATTATCCCTAATGTATAGACAGAGTAACTAAGGTAACAGTAGGCAAAAAGTATTTGACTTCCCACTTCCAAGCTGTAGTGTGTTAGCTATTAGATAATTCTTCTACTGAGAACAGCTTAATTATGCAGTGTACAAATATTGACTGCTTGTGCTCAAGGATCACTCTCAAAATCTCCTTCAAACATAGCTGCATCAATCTCGTTTCACACAGAAATTGCAGCCTATTTGCTAAGTTCACACAGGAATATTGGCTGACAGAAACCTGGACTGAAAGTTTCAGTGCAGACCCTGTCCCAAAGCAGCCCTCAGCTTTGAAGTTCAAGTAGAAGACCTCCCTAATTAGAAATGAGGGACCCTACATAAATAACCTGTTCTCCTCCCGAGTTACATGGCTGCAAAGCAGGGCATGCAGGGCTGGCGCTCGGGTCCCTGTCACCAACCACCCGTAGCAAAGGCCAGTCCTTGCTATGGCACAGCCAGTGGGGCCAGCCCCAGCCTCAATCCACCCACTCCCATGCATTTGGAAACACGTTTTTCTGACAATAGAGAGATAAATAAATAAATAAATGCACCTTTTCCAGGCTTGGAAAATGTCCTGAACTGTTGCCTCCCTTCCACCCCATTACTAATCACTGAAAACAGCTGTTCTTTTTTTTTTTTAATATTATTCTGATCAACTGTTTCTGGCAAAGGAAGACAGAATAGGAAGCAAAAAAAATCTATATATCCCTCCATGCAGCTGAAAAAGGTAAAGGCAGCTATTTGATAAAAACCTTCAGCTCCCTAGAAATTGGGCTGAGACACCTTAAATTCTTCCTGTGTAAGCCATCAATTAAGATTTCTCCGTACTCTAAGTTACATCAGTACCCAAGAAAGGAAAATCTATTTTTCATTTCCACTCCTCTGTCCCATCCAGGTCTCATGAACAGCTAATGAAGCAATAGGTTCAGATTTTGCCAGTACCTGCTAGGGTAGGTCAACCTAGAACAGCTTGAAGCTATTAAAATGGTTCTATATATTTCTGTGAACAAATGTATCATAAAGTCAGAATGATGAAGTGCCTGGTACAAATAGGTTTTGAAAACAGTCAAGAACTGTTTGTTCCCAGCCCTGGAGGAGTTACGGATCCCTGAGATGGACCATAGCTGCCAAAGGAATCTAGAGATAAGGGCCTTTAACATTCATCCCCTTCAAGGTTTCAGGGGGGAGGGATGGAAGCCCATTATGTTGTGTTCATAAAACCTTCAAAGCTGAAGGTGATGCGACTGGTACACTGTTTAAAAAAAGTCACCACAGAGATGGCAAAATAAATGCAGAAAGGAAGAGCCAAGTGTGAACTTCTATGCAGACAGGCAAGCTCCTCAGCTGCTAGGAACAAGCCCAGTTTACACTAGCTGGCAGCCTGATTCCTTGGGTTTGTGCCCTGTTGTTTTGGTGAGTTCTGTTTGTCTCCTAAAGACGATAATAAAGCTGTTCGGGAGTATTTTTCTCCCCCATTTCCATTCTCATCTTCCCCCAGATCCAGCTCCCAAAAATCTGAACAGACCCCCATGGCCTCAGCAGAAGAGATGGGGCATTACACCTGTTGGTGGCAGCTGAATTCTGTGGTGAGGAGCAGGTTATGGCAGCAGGACCACAAGTCTGCCCCTCCATGGTCTTCAGCAGCCTCATCACCATGGCAATAGAGAAGGAACATCACTTGGAGGAAAGCCTGGGGCAATAACATCGAGAAGAGATTCAACCTGGGAACACTGAGATAGGGCGCATCTGACCCAAATCCTCCGTTGCAGGTAATCCATTCCTGATGAGCTCCTGTATGAGTTTCTGAGGTGACAGAAGATGAGCATCTATCAGCCACCACTACTCCCAGCGGGCCACACTGAGCCCAGCACTACACACAAGACTCTTCAGCAGGTGGGGGCATTTTTGGTTTTTTGAAAGATCTCCCTATTGCTTTTCTAAGTGTTGGAGGAAGATGGTGAAAGGGCTAAGCTCTCCTAATTATTTTGCCACAACAAAACCCTGATGGGTTCAGCCACAGCAGTCTGTGCCCCTGAGTGGACTCCTAGGTTGGTTTTGTCCTGGTTAACATCAACAGTACCTAGGGAAAACTACTACAGGCTGAACCCATCCTAAGTGCACTCTTCAGTCGGCCAATATTGGCTTATGGTGATTTGATATTTCAACATAGCTACAGGGAAAGGAATGAAGCAAAACCACATTGCTTTAAATCAGGTTTTAAATGACTTGGTCAGGTTGGTACATTGGCCAAGACAAGGAAGAGAATTATTCAAAGAAGGAACTGTGAGACTTGATAGAAAAACAATGACATCCAGTCTCTCTACATGAATATATTTATTAGCACAGCACCATCAGTGACAGCAGTGATGAAAAACTTTGGAAAAAAAAAACTACTACAAGCAAGTAATAAATATGCTTAAGCCATAAATATAGCCCAACTCTCAGTTTTGATCAGGCAGGACTCGCACAACTACAGGTCAGCCCTGGAACATAAAAACCCTCCTGTCATCGAGCCAAACAGCCTTCCAAATATCACTCCTCCTCCCACCGCCTTCTGGGTTTTGCAGGAATTGTTTCTTGATGGTCAACCCTCAGCTCCATCTGTTGCATCGTGACGACCCTTTGCATGCAAGAACAGAAGAGCAGGGATTGTTGCTGAGCTGATAAAGGAATGTGGCAATTAAAAAAAAAAAAATGAGATTCAACAGCAGGCCTTGCAGTCAGGGGACACTTGAAAATTAAAAAAAAAGGAGCAGAGCTCCTGAGGGTCTCTTGTATTATTTTTTTTGCACTGAGCAAGGAACAGGTGTTCAGCTATTCCATAGCCAGGAGCATCATTCCAGTCAGAGATGCCTCTCCAGCGTCAAGGGTTTTCCAGGAACACATTTGCACTCATTAGCAGTTATTGCCACAACGGAACAAGTCAGCACAAGCTTGGGGTGCTGGCACAAATATAAACTTGGTTGCTGTCCAGAAAAGCATATTAAGTTTGTTTGAATGAGGCGAAGGGAGCCATAGGGAAACAAAGCATCCTCTAGGTACATTTAGCTAATCATGAAAAAGTAGAGGAAAAGGGAAACAAAAGTAGTTGTGTGTTGACTTGCATGTCCAAATATCATCATAAAGATACTTTGCCAGGCCCGATGCTCACACTCACACATTAGACTTGCCTATTCAAGCACTGGGACTATGGGTATATACCAGGTAATGTTCAGGAAAATGCACCTAATTAACTTTTTGCATATATCTCCTCATTACGTGCTCAGAAATAATTCTGCCAGTTGTGCACCCCAGACCGTTTGAATGTCTGGGCCTGCATTTTCACTGGGTTTGACATTTATTCAATAACCCAGGAACTCGCAGGCAGCCAGCACTTCACATTTCCACAGCCTCTGCAGACAGAAGTCAGCTTTCAATGAGGATCTGAAGGCATCGGCTTATATCACTTCTCAGACACAGCACGCAATTTTAACTAGGTTCTGTCTAATTTTATTTAGGCATTAACTCATTACATGAACAAATCTGATCCATGGCAGTAATTGCTCTAACAGCCACTGTCTGGCCACCCTCGGCTCTACATCTCCTCGGCAGCAGCCTCGTGGGAGAGGCTCTGGTCCTGATGGACATCAGGACCAAGCCTCCCTTTCCTGCCAAGAAGTAGCTTTCATTCACATCTGCCAGCTCAGAGCTAGGCCAGGAACTACAGCCTCACGTGGAATATCAGAAGCAACCAGACTTCCTTGAACACTTTTCAAAGAGGATGCAAAGCCTGTGTTCTGGATAAATGAATAAACTACTTGTGCACAATCTACTGGTCGAGAGCATTAACTCTACATTACCTGCAGTACATACTCCCATTTTCAGCCTACCTGCTCTCTCTGAACTTTACCAGAGGGACAGAAGCAGCTGCATCTCTCACCTTCCTCAGCTTTTGGGCAAGCAGCTTGCTTTTTCCCTTCCCTCTGTGACCTAGGAATCCCAAACCCTGATAGCACAAACCAGGGCAAATCTGTCCTCGGAGCTTGTATCCAGGGAGAAGCACCTTGTCTGTGAGTCTGCTTGCTGCTTCAGTTAAGTGCCTGAAGGTCTCATGGGATTTGCTGGAAGCTGAGTAGGGTGCACCAAAGCATCCACACTCTTAATTCAGATTTTGATGACAGAGAGACATGGAACAGCACCGACTTCAAACAGAGGGTACCCATGGGGAACACGAAGGTAGGGAAGAAATGTCTTGTTCAGAAGCTTGGCAGCTTCCTGCAAAGAGCTGGGATGGGGGAAGAGAAGTGAGACCTCCAGGCCACAGTTTGACAACACACTGGATCTGTTTCGTTGCCTGACCAAGAGCACCACAGCCACATGGGCACAATGCTGAATGGCTACGAGCTGTGTTGGCTCAAATTTGTTCAAAACATTTCAACATGTTAACTTTGTACCAGCAGGCTTTCTGCCAGGTCAAATATCACCTGCCTGCACCACGCTAGCTGTATGCTGGTTCAAGTATTCCCCCGTCCTCTTGCCACCAGCGTAAAGCTGAAATAAAACAGCAAAGCTGGTGTGAATCCTGCATCTTGTGCTTGAAGTGAAGGTAACTGTGTTCCCATCGCTGACCTACATCGGTTTAGTTCCTCTGGATGCACCAATCTGGTACGGTACAACCACAGCCAGTAATTACACAACCATTTTCTCCAGGAAGAAATGGAGTTGGAGAAGTTCTCACTTTCCTCCTGACCCAGGTTTCCTGTTCCCACCCCTGCACCTCAATTTACCTCCTGCTTGGTCATGCTGATGCAACTGGTGGCGGGGCTATGAGCTAAACTGGGTCAGGCAGTTCTTTTGGAGAGCAGGTCGATTTGGTTTTGTGGGTTTTGGTGGTCTTTTTTTTTATTTTTAATTTTGGTTCATCTCATGTCTCTGCAAAGAGCTATCTCAGCACAGCTGAGGGGGCAATGAAGCGTGCGGTTTAGCGCCAGCAGCAAGTGGCCAAAGGTGGGGCAGAGCTTTTAAATTGCCTCTGCTGCTGGGGAAAACGTTCATGAAACTGCACCCTGGGTAAAGCAGCTGCCAACCTCCCGAGCAAGCTATCGGCACAGCATTTGCATTTGAACCGAGAGAAAAATCCCCAAGGAGCAAGTCTAGGCAGGTGGCTAGTCTGGAGTTGGTCAGAGGTGGGATGGAAGGAGGGCATTCTTCATGAAAGCTGGGTAAACAGTTCCCCAGGCTGCTGCACTCCACGAGGATTTTAGGTTGTTTCCCAAACGTTTACCTATCTATCTGTACCTTTGCCTTAAGCTTTAATAAACAAAGCTTCCCTCAGCTCTGCTACGAAACCCGTCTAGGGTCATGGGACCAGACTCTGCACACTGGGAAAGTTCATCTAGCTAATTAATTACTGCTCCTGCCTCCCTCAGCATCAGAGAACCAAGCCAGGTCCTTCGGCTCCAACTGCATGAACTAATAGGAAGGCCCTTTTAATTACAGTTAGGGACTGCATCCTCTGTAGTTTGCAGCCATCAAGCCCGGTCCCCAGCAGGGAATTTTCCCTGTTGCAGCTTGCAGAAAACCAACGGGAGCCACAAGCGTGGGCCAGGCTGCGGGAAGCCTCAGCTCCTAAATTGATGCTGAGTCTTGCTGAGGGTGCTAATGGCACAAACCCTTCCAGCGCCACACCTGCTGCCAGCCACTCGGCGTAACCCCATCCTCGACGCTGCACGCTGCAGGATTTTTATCTGCTTGCCCATTTCGGAGGGGGGAAAGAGTGAGAAAGAAAGGGGGAGGCGAGGGTGGTAGCGGGATTACCACATATAGTCATTATAATCATTAACCACAGAGCACTAAATGAATCATTAAGCATCACAACAGATCCACACATGCTTTGCTTCTTAAAGCTTCCTGACTTGCCTCTGTTTTCTGTACAAATGCCCAGTGATTGTTTCAAGAAACCAAGCACATTTCCAGTGTTAGTGCTGCAGCTCCTTCCAAAAAAATAGCTAAACAGATGAAGCTCTGCTGAAGGAACAGATCTGTTTATAGAACATACTTTTCTTTCACTAGACCAAATATATTCAGCCCTCTCAAATAAATATGTACGTTAAAAACTTGATAACTGGCTAAATCGGAAAAAAATGGAATAGCAAATGGGAAATTATGTAACTAAGAGCGAGTTCAATGAGAACATGCATTTAAAATACTTTATTCATGCTCTTTCAAGGTTAAATCTGGGCTTTTTTAAATCAAAAATTTAATGACTTAATAAATGCTTCCATTAGAGACAGAAACAAAACACGTGAAGGAAAAGGATTTTTTTAAAGCCTTCAATTTTTAATATTTATAACCTAAACTTTGCCTTATACTGAAATATAAGTATATGAAAATGAATCAAACTAAACAGAGCAATACTAACTTGTTCGCTAAAAACAAACAAAAACCACTAAAACCAAAACGAAATACTATAAATCTTTTTTGTTGTTGTTGCTGCTTTTTTTCCTCCAGATTCTATTGTTCCTGTTACTCAAGCAGCTATTTCCACAGTCAGATGCTTGCGACAGTACCTGGCAGCAGCCTCACTAAGTGAGCCGAGTTATTACAAAACGCCTTCACGACGGCAGACAGAACCACTCCATTCAGCCCTCCTCAACCGAGCTGCTTTTGGCTTCTGCTCTGAATCGCCCCCCCCAAACAGCCCTCCCCATATCACGGGGCTCCCGAGACCACGCCAACAGAATCGAAACCCCGGGAAAGCACAACAGGATTAAAAAATACGGAGGAAAGACGCCAACCAGCAGTTTATCCACAGACATTAATAAAATGTAAAGCTGTAAACACACCACCATAATCTCCCAACCTTTACTCAGGTATAAAGGTACGGACCCTGGCTTCGCACACGCTTGCACAGCACAGAACCGGCTGAAAGCAGCAAGTAATAATAATTAGGCAAGGAACAGTTGCCTTCATTGATTCAGCTCCTTCAAATAAAGGTTGCAGGAGCAGACGCAAGATTATGCACGATATCTTTCTAATCCTTCAGCTTTATGCCAGTCTAACAGAGGATGTGTGCTCCATCCATCAGCGGAGCCCTGAGTACACAGGTAATCCAGCAATAATCACCGCAGCTCTATCAGTCCTGATAATATCGGCTTATCTATCAGCCGCCTCTGCAGTTTATACGAGCTGCTTATCTCCAAGAGCTATTAGGTCTGAACTTTAGTTCAGTCTTTTGTTTGATCTTGTTTCTTCTGCATTCATTTGAAGCTCCGCATATTGTGCTTTTAATTTCGTATCGAAACGCATCAGAGCCTTTAATATTATTCCTGCTACTGATGCAACACGGTCCTAGCAACAATGAGAACAGGGAGCGAGTCATGAAAATAATAAACCATGCTAGGTCTGGAGGCTATGAAATCAGTTCAAACATACTGCGGGGAGCTGTGCTGCCTGCGCTGAGACACATGGCTTTCCATGGGCACCAGCCCATTTATGAGTCATGAAACATAATGGAGTATTGTTGAAAGCTTTGGGACCATGAGAAATTATCTACTGCCCGGCATGGGGAATGGTATAAACTGGCAAGGAACTGGAGTTACATTCTTTTACAGAAATGAAATCAGACAGCCTTGGCCTGCT